CCTCCTCCCTCCTCCTCCTCCTCCTCCTCCTTCTTCTTTCTTCTTCCTCCATGAACTTTTGGAAGCATGTTGGTTCTCTTTGTCCGCAGCTCAGGATTCATATCCTCAAAGCTCAGCAGGATTCCTCTTCCTTCCTCCACACTATCTCCTAAGTGGAAGTGAACTTTGCCTGCATTTCCCAGACTGGCTCTGGCCCGCTAATTTCTTTGTCTCCCTGCTCCCCAGCTGTTAACTGAGCACCAAGATGCATATCAGGCGGGAACCGTATTTCCGGATTCTTTTTACCCCAGCATCTGCAAAGGAGGTATGGTTTGAAGACTAAGTGATCTCGTTTATAATCGACTAATAGGGATGGGTGTTAGTGTAAAAACGTATATAATAGCATGTTCTATTTCCCACTATTGTTGGGCAGTGGCTTATTTCACATGAAGTCCTCTTTCCATTTAACTAAAATGTACTTGTTTAACCATATGCATTTCTTAAATTTCACACCATGTTTGGCTGAAAACCATTCTAAGCACCCTTAACTTGCTTTAGTGATTCACGTCGCACTGGAGAGAATATTCAAAGTTCTGAGCTTGGGTTCTTTCTGTCATTGCTTGTTAACCTGCAGCCTTGCAAAATCACTTGCGCGTCTCCATGGTTGCCACCTCTGTACAGTGGTCTCGTGCAACTGGTTCAAGTGTTTGACTGCCAGTCCGGAGAGCACTGCTCCACTCGGCCACTCCTGGAGTCACCGTGAGTCAAAAGAGACTTGGCGGTAACTGCAGCGGTTGCTTTTTGAACATGGTCTTAATCATGCTGGGCTGCCCACCCTCTTCAGTAGATTATTGCTGTCATTCTTGAAGAGTATCTTGTCAAGGCTTATTCCAATCTCAGGGACTTATCAGCAATGGAGGGTGTGGGTCGCACCATGAGGACTGCCACAGAACTCAGTCTAAAACCCACATCGGAACTCACTGCCACCGGGTCTGTCTCTACTCATAGAGATCCCTAGACAGAGAGGCGCTGCCCCGCAAGGTTCCCAAGGCTTCAAATCTACATGGGAGCAGACGGCCTCCTCTTTCTTCCAAGGAGAGACTGGCGATTTTGAAACTGCCGACTTCAGCACTGCAGCACCGGGGCTCTGGCAGCTGTGTGCTTTGAAGGACATTTCACACAGGGGCCACTTAGAGACGTGTGGGCAGGAAGTCACAAAGGACAGTGCAGGACTGGAGCCATCTCTGCACCTGGCAGGGCTTGGGAGAGGGTGTGCCTACGGGCAGTGCGCATCAAGAGGTGCTGGAGGTGGGGGGTGTGGCAGGAACCAAGACTGAATGGGACACCTGGGGGGTGGGCGGGTACAGGTATGCTGGCCTCTGTCTCTTGTTTCCCACGGATCTCATTCCAGGTCTCCAAAGTGGCCCGAGAGCAAAGACGCTAGTTCAAGTTGAAGTAGGTCAGGGGCAGGGTAGAGCAGGGCGGAGAAAGGCTCTGGCAGGAACAGCAGCAGACAGTAGGGGCACTGGCTCAGCCTGTAAACCATTGGAGTCCGGAGGTCAGATCCTTATCTAGCCCCCTCCTTTTATACAATGATGTCATTTGAGGACAATGGCATGTGTAGGGCCACTCCTCTTTATCATACGACAGTTTCACAGATACTAAACTCTTGACCTTATACATAGGTATAAGTCCATCCCGTGTCTCCACTCTGGTCTATTCAGTACTCTTCTTACGCCTCTTCCAGTGAAACCCCTGAAAGCCAGATGTCCACGGGTCCCTCAACAGTCTTGTGTTTGACAAGTGCAGTCTTTGCACCGTTCCTCCACTGCTTTCAGTAGCAAGACTTAGTTCTCCCTTCTCTGACCCGTGTCTGTCCTAGAGCACGTGCCAACCTTCCCGTATTCCGCCTGCTTGCTGCAGCCCTGCCTCTTTCCAATCTGCTAATTCTAGGTAGCATTTCCCTACCGTCGTCAGGGGGCTTCGCTAGCTCTTCACGCTTCGTATCTTACACAAAAAAGACAGAAATCGAAAGGTTTTTTGGTTTGTTTTTTGCAATTAAATTTGAGAAACATTGGTTATTGAATACAATTTTTAACGATTGACAGCGTACATTATATACTGCAAGGAACAGAAAACAAATGCGAACTATTTAGTTACTGTATTAGTCTAGGTACTTTGGAGAAACAAATCCATGGTGACTCACGTATAAGAGAGAGTTTTATGTAAAGAAAATGTGCATCATGAAAACATCCCAACCCAGTGCTGCCCAAGCCCACAAGTCCAACATTAACCCATTAACCCAACACCAGTCCACAAAGTCCTCCACCTCACAAAACAGAGGCAATGATGCTGACTGCAGGAGGAAAGCTGAGTCAGTGAATGAACAAGCATCTCAGCACTAGCAGGGGTCTCCACACGGCTGCTCCAGCACCCAGGGCTGCATCGGGATAGGTCCACGTGGCTTCTCCTTGGGGATGTCTTGTAGGAAGTCAATCTTGCAAGCTGAAGCAGGGAACTGCTAAGGCAGCTGCACCCGGTGCAACCATCACAAAACAAGAGACCCGAGAACTAGAAAGGCGAGGCTTCACCACCCATTTATCCCTCCGCCTTTCAACCAGCACCACATGTGATTATTGGCCAGGCTGGCACAATTAACTAACTCAATCCACCCCTTGCCAACCTGGCACCTGTATATAATTCTTAGCTTCACAATTGCAATGAACACCTATACCTTAACCCTATAATCCTGTGAGTTTTTTCCCCTACCTTTGAAAGTTTTTAAGCCAACTGCTTCATGCCTTTATCTCCCCCAATTTTAGTTATCCAATTTATATACTGCCCACTTGTATCAATCCAGTTCTCTGAGAAGACAATCAAGTTTTTCGACACGAAGTCTCCATTCCAGTTGGAACCTTGTAAAGTCTGCATCCACAAGCAAAGTCAAATCCGGACAGGCCATCCATAAAGTCAGCTCCTGGTATCGCTACTCTCATGATAGGTCCTGAGGGTGTTTCAATTTTTTAAAAAGCCAGTAGCTATCCTCTTTTCTGATGTGAGGGGGACCGGCATATGATTAAGAAATCAAAAAGTCAATCAAAGAGAAGAATGATCAAACACAGGATGGTGACAAGGAATTTCAATGTAGACTCCTCTTAGATATTGACTGGAGCCCTGGTGGTGTAGTGAGTGGCTCCTTGAGCTGTTAACCACAAAGGCATTGGTTCAAACCCATGAGTTGCTCTGAGGGAGAAAGATGAGGCCGCCTCTTCCCATAAAGATTCAAAGACTTGGAAACCCGAAGGGGCAGTTCTGCCCTGTCCTATGGGGTCACAATGAGCCCGAATCAACTTGTTGGCAGCGAGTTTTGCTTTTAGATATTTATAAATTTTGAAACAGCTTTAAAAAAAATATTTTACTGCTGTCATACAAATCGAATGCAACAGAAGGGCATTGTTTGTTTTGGGGGCTATTGTTGTGTGTTATCTTTTTTGGTGATTCACTATTATTACATCATTCCTAAACACTTAGTTTTCTTAGATTCCTAATTTCCAAAGAAACAAGCCTTTGTCTTAGTACTCATGTTTCTTTTTTTCTTTCTTAGTACTCCTATGTGGTCAGTTTACCTAATATTGAATTAAATTCTATTAAATTAAATTACAATAACAAGAGTCATTGGAGAAAGGAGGATGTGGAACAGCCTTGGCTGACTCTGGATCAGTTACAGTGCAGGCTTGCTTGCTTGTTGGCCACTTCCTGTACGTTCCAGGAAGTTTCTTTTACTTCCTATCAGCTCCTTCTTTGACCAACTTCACGATTTTAGTTAAGTGGAAGTTGGGGCTAAAGAGCTACGGCTATACGTAGTTCTGAATTCTTCCTTTATTCTAAAAAAATAGGAATCATTAGAGATTTTGTCTTTAGGAAAACTATTGGAGCAAATAAAATGTCTTGGTTGCGAGCTAATCTCTTTGAAAAATCGTCTTCAGAGAAACCCACGCTTTGAAATTGGCGAGGCAAGTTTTGCTTTCCCAGCCCTGTGCAGACATTGGCCTGTGGGACGTGAGCCTTGGACTTTTGCTCTCTGTCACCCCCAGTGACCTCTGGCCCCCTGTGCAGTTCGGCAGTTGGAGGTTTATTTAGAACAGAGGCCAGGTCCCGCATTTCCCTCCTCCCCTGTGGGACTAAAGAGATCCCTGGTGCACCCGCTGACCCACTTGGATAATACTGGGGGGATACTCCCTGGACCTCGCCATCTGCAAATGATGGGTATGAATTCAAATTCATGAGAGCCTTTGGGGAAGGTGCTCCTATTTTTTATGCTTTTAGGGAGGCTGTTGGTGATCGACAAAAAATAGTTTTTTACACGAGCAAAAACAACACAAAAAAGAGCCCCCCTCTCCCCCATGGCAGATTCCCTTATCTTCCCATCTAGTTCCCACTTCTGTCTGATGTCATACATGTCAGGGGAGAACTGTACTCCAAACTTTTCAGTGGTGTGTCTTCTCAGAACTAGATTCCTAGAGCTTTCTTGTAACATGCCTCTGAGTGGACTTGAACCACCTGCCTTCTGCTTAGTACCCAAGCATATTACCTATTTGCAATGTCTTGGGACTCCTTCCTTAGCTTTCAGGCCCGGAAATGGAAAACCTTTAGGCTCGTTTGAGCCAGGGTGTGATACTGTGAGCCACTTGTAGCTCCTTTCCTCTTACCGTGGGGCCCCAGTCACCAGTTAGGCAGAACTGTGCCCCTTCCAAAATTTCCACCTGCTCTTCCGTCACCGAAGTGTGCCTGGTTGCATAGTGGGTTAAGCATTGAGCCCAACCCACCTGCTGCGTCCAGGGAAAAAGGTGAGGGTGTATGCTCTGAAGAGGTGGCAGTTCTGCTCTCTGCGACAGGACCGCTTCCGTTCTAGAGTCGTACTCTGTACTCCAACCGGTGAATCTAAACAAGGACTCGGAGTCAGGAGGAGGAGGAGGAGGGGGTTAGTAGTGGGTGGCGGTGGAAGGCTTGGTGGCTATTTGGTTGAGCATTTCCAACATTCAAAAAAATTCCCATTATCAGGTGACTTTCTACATGTGTTTGGCATACATGCAACATGTGTGTTTGACATGTGTACCCAAGCATTCGGCATTTAAACATTCTTTCCATGCACACGTCAGTGATGCAACTTTCCTTCATTCTGTTGTTCCGCCACCATCACGGTCCGTTTTGTTTTCCATCACCCTAAGCACCAGCTCAGTGTCCTTGAAGCATTGAGTCCTTCTCCCTCCCTCCCTGCTCTGGCCACTGCTAATAAACTTTGTCTCCCACGCATCTGCCTATTCTAGATACTTCATGTCCGTGGGGTCATACAATAGTGGTTCTCTTTGTGATTGCCTTATTTCACTCAGCCTGTGTGTTAGTCTGCGTACATTACAGAAACAAATCCATAGAAACTTATATGTATAAGAGAGAGTTTTATAGAAAGGGTGAGTGTACATTAAGAAAACATCCCAACCTAGTGCTGCCCAAGCCCACAAGTCCAACATTAGCCCACATGTCCGACACCAATCCACAAAGTCCTCCTCCATCTCACAAAACACACTCAATGATGCTGACTGCAGGAGGAAAGCCAAACGTGTAAACCACTGAATGTGTAAGCATGTCAGCGCTGGCAGGGGTCTCCACACGGCTGCTCCAGCACCCAGGGCTGCATCAGGGTAGGTCCATGTGGCTTCTCCTCAGGGATGTCTTGCTGGCAGTGAGCCTTGCCAGCTGAAGCAGGAAACTGGCTAAGGCAGCTGCACCCTGGTGCGACTATCAGAAAGCAAGAGACCCGAGAACTCGAAAGGCGAGGCTCACAGAGCCATTTATCCCTCTGCCCTTCAATTAACCCACATGTGTTTATCAGCCAGGTTGGCACAATAAACTGTAACTATGGCAGCATGTCTTCAAGGTTCATCCATGTAGTAGTATGCATCAAGACTTCATTCTCTTTATGGTTGTGTAATGAGACACCAATTTTGCAAGAAAGGATCTTAAGTTTTGCTTGTGTTTTATCAGGCAAATATCACGAGGTGGCTGAAAGCACCCACTGGACTCCATTCCTGAATGCAAGTGTTCATTACATTCGGGAGAACTACCCCCTTCCCTGGGAGAAGGTAGGCACGACTCTCTTTTCCTAAAATGTTCCTATGCCAAGCTTGACAAGAACTGTTCTTGCACTTTTACTTATCTCATCGGTCCGCTCCCCAAAGCCTCTCTTGGTGCTCCCGTGAAGAGTCACTGTCTCAGAGACCCACAGGGCAGCTCTACCCTGTCCTACAGGGCCCACACGAGCCAACCCCATGGCAGTGAGTTTATTTGGTCTCCAGGGTCTGTCCGGGCTCATTGACCAATGTATTTCCAGTGCCACACATAGTTTGCATGAATTATAAAGGACAAATACCGTAGGATTTTGCTAATGAAAATATTTAAAATAGGCAAAGATATAGAGGTTAGAGTGGTCGCCAGGGGCAAATGAAAAGAGGAAGGGAGGGAACATTGCTTGGCCAGTTTTGTTTATGGAGATAGAAAATTTGGCAACAGATATTGATGATGGCCCAACATCTTGATGTAGTAGATTTTATTAAATTATACACTTGAAAGGTGTTGAATTGGCAAGTGATCTAGTCTTTGTATTATCATAATTAAAGTAAATATATGATTATAGTTATATATATTTATATCCATCCATATTTAATATATATTCCATTTTTATTGGGATGAAGAAATAAAACAACACTTGCTAATCCAACATGTAAATACCAAACTAACAGCCATTGAGTCAAGGTCAACTTATGGTGACCCTATAGGACAGGGCTGAACTGCCCCTGTGAGTTTCTGAGACTGTAACTCTATGGGAGTAGAAAGTCCCATCTTTCTCCCCTGGAGTGATTGGTGGTTTTGAACTGCTGATCTTGCAGTTAGCAGCCCAATGTGTAACTACGGTGCCATCAGGGCTTCGTAAATAGACAGAGAGATAAAGATTGTCTTTCAATCTTTAGGGGGTTTGCCACATAATCCTTTTGCTCCAGATGTTATTAAGCCAAAAGCACTTCTAATGCATGCCAAAACATTTCAAATAGCCCTGCATAGCTTTTGGTAGGTAGGAACTCCAATGTACCTGTCTCTGATTTTGTTGTTGTTAATTTGCAATCATAGAAATGAATTGACTTGTATTACAATTTTTTTATAGGCTTGTTGTTTTAAAATAACCCAACACAGCTTCACTTTGCTTCTTTGACAGGACACAGAAAAATTGGTGGCTTTCTTGTTTGGAATTGCCTCTCACATGGTGGCAGATATCAGCTGGCACAGCCTGGGCATTGAACAAGGCTTCCTTAGGACAATGAGCGCTGTGAGTACCTCCCAATGGCCAATGCCTTCATGGGCACGATGCTGCTATGCTCAGGATAACAATCTGACCCTTTTAAAGGAAAGGCGACAATAAAAGTTATTCAGCTGAGACTACAACTGTTTATGGGACTAGAAAGCCCAGTCTTTCTCCCTCGGAGCTGCTGGTGGTTTTGAACTACTAACTGTGTGGCTCACAGCCCAACCTGTAACCACTACACCATCAGGGTCCCTAGAAAATCAATACAGCTAAACCCAAACCAAACAAGCAGACAAAACGTTTGCATGAAAATTTAGTCCCTTCACGATGCATCATCTCAACAATTCCTTGAGTTAGTTTGTCGTTTCCCCAACTGTTTGATTTTGGGAGTAAGAGTGAAACATACACACCCTATTTCCCTGAAAGTAAGACGTCCCCCGAAAATAAGACCTACTTACAGTTTTGCCTCTCGCTGAAATATAAGACATCCCCCCCAAAATAAGACCTCCTTGAAAATAAGACCCCCTGAAGCTACCGTAACTCTGGACTGTGGACCGTAGCGGTGGGCGCCGCTGCACAATTCACTGTTGGCCATAGCGCAGCCGGAGCAGACAGGATACACAGTAAACAATAAATGTGTATCGTATTCTTCTTCATGGAAAAATAAGACATCCCCTGAAAATAAGACCTAGTGCATCTTTGAGAGCAAAAATTAATATAAGACACTGTCTTATTTTCGGGGAAACAGGGTATCTACTTTGTGTGATATGTAACAGATGGTTCTCTTTCTGTCTCAGATGGATTTTCACAACTCCTTTTCTGAAGCACACCCCATTGGCGATTTTGGTATAGTTCATTTCCATTTATCGCATTTCCTCCTGTGGTATTTGTAGTTCACTGCTCATGAAGTCATTTCTGCATTTTCAGTAGGGGTGTTTAGATGCTAGCTTGTCTTTTGCCTTCGTGAACTGGCCTGTCTTCTGTTTTAATCTTGCGGTTTGTTTAGAGTTTGATTATGCATTATTAAGTGCAGAGATGTCATTTTTTAAAGCTGTGTATACGTCTCACTTTTGTGTGTCAAAATGACCATAACAGTAGTTTATCATTGACTTGTGTCTTCATTTTAGAAATGTTTCACCCTTATATTGGATTACAATTTATTGACTATTGTCTCCTTTTCTCTAGTAAATTATCTTTAAATATATAAACTAGGCAAGTGGTGAGTGGCACTTATTTAAACAAATTATTGTGTTCCACCTTTCCTTAAGGATCCCTGGTGGCATTGCGGTTACGCATATGTGGGCTTCTAACCTCAAGGTCAGCAGTTCGAAGCCACCTGCCACCGGAGAGAGGAAAAGATGAGACTGTCTACTTTCGTAAAGAGTCACAGTCTCAGATATTCACGCGGGCAGTTCCTGCCCTAAAGGGCAGCTATGAGTCCGAATCGGCTCGATGGCAGTGAATGAGGGTTTTTTGGGTTTTTTTTAGTTTCCTTAAGTTGTAAAAATTTGTTGGCGATAAGGGTGATTTGTTCCTTCATGCATATATTTCACTTGGTAAAATTTGAAAAGATCATTTTTCTCGTAAAGAAAGACACAGGGGTGGCTAAAGCAAAGACACATATCACTGGGTGAAGGACTAATAATCTAGACTGTGAGAATTTGCAGTGAAGGAAGCTTGTTCACTGTTGCCACTAACCCACCCAATGTTACTCTTTGTGGCACCCCCTAGGAGGCGATGTGCTGAGCCAGTTTGAGTTTAATTTCAATTACCTCACACGACGCTGGTAAGAACAATATTTATTTGATCAGCCTAATAATTTCCAAGAGATGACTGTCTTAAAAACCTCCCTGATCT